GGACTCCCAACACAAACGATGTCAAACTCACCCCTGCCAGCTCTGGCCATGCCCCCCCCCCCAGCTACCCCAAGGTCAAACAAAACAATGATGCGGCCCTCAATGAAATCGAGTTTGACAGCCCTGATAGTTGATTTGCAGGGAAGCCCAGACAAGTTTCCCTTTCTTGCAATTTTTCATGAGCTGCCAATCTAGAAGACAATGAGTAATAACACTGATGGTTCAAAGTTGCTCACAGGGTTACGATCTCTTCTTTTAAAAGAACTACTAAGTTCTCTCATAAAGATTTATTCTCTGCTTTGCTGTGTATCTACAGCCAATATTTTTTGCCACCACCTGACCTCCCACCACCAGTCAGATTCTGCTCACCGATTGCGGATACTGACTGTCCAAGGTGAGTTTCCAGGTCCGCCTCCTACAATCCGAGCCCGTACCTCTGTTCGCTCAATCCTCCTGCCACACTGGTCAAAAGCCACGTTCTCTGCAACCAGGGAGTCAAGTCATGACATATTGTCCTTAAGTGTTTTTTTTTAAAAAAGCAACACACTTCATTTCTAATTATTCGCATAGTCACCTGAAGCCAAAGGCAGAGGGAAAACTTGTACACCTGTTTCACTTTCTCATCAAAACTATTTTTCTCACAAAATTACCACAGATAGAATGCCTGGCAGAAAACTCACCTGGATTCAGCAAAAGGGACAGCTTCTTGTCATCAGCTGTAGAAACAAAGCAAAACATGGATTGATGCGCGCACAACTACATTCCACGTATTGTTTATTTATTTCAGTGCAGTCTCTGAGGTACCAAAGCCTACGAAGCTTATCGTTCATATTCATTGTAGAAGGCTTTTATTTCTACAAAATACATGTGTTTTGTCCTGAGTGAGTGACAAGCATGCCTCTGTAAATTGATTGTGAGTTGAACTATGCGTGAGCTTTTGTTGTGGCATCTTCTGGTTCAGGATCATTTTAAGAAGACAACTCAGAGTTTTCTGGTTTCTAGCACAGCATCCAGCCAAACCAGATTTCAGGCATTAGTTTTAGCAAACTACTTGGCATTCAGAATCATATGCCATTACATATTCATGACTGTTTCTGAAGCCAAAAAAGTAAGACATGAAATACTCCATTTATTTTTTTGGAAAAAACAAACAAAGGAAAACTACTACTTTGCAAGTATTTGAAGCAACATGTATTCCGGTTATTGTTAAATTAACATTCTCCTTTTCCCAAACCACTGCTGTCTGAAGTTAATAGAATTGGAATCTATAACATTTGGAAAATAAAGAGATGCTCGGTACTTGAGAGACCGCCTGCTGCCAATTACCTCCAATAGACCGATTAGATCCCACAGATTAGGCCTCCTCTGAATTCCATCCGCCGGCCAATGC